TATTTTATGGCTACGCCTTCCTTCTTCCGTTATGCTATATGGCAGAATATCCAGAGGTCATAAGGGTTCAATCCCATTTTATGGTTCAACTCTATTTAGACGCGACGCGTCTGAGAGACTGGGACGCGTGCCCCTACCTCTTCTTCGTTGGCAGTGAAGCTCTTCCAGAAACTAATCAACTCCACATATGACTCTTCAACCCTGGTTCTACTGAGCTACTGGGTCCGTATCAAAAGGGAGCTGTGATCAGCAATTTGTATTCATTCACACTGCACCAGTGGCCCGGTGTATCCAACACAAAATGCGTACCCGGCAGAAACGCCTCAACTACCGAGTTCTGAATGACGAGAGCGATGGAGAGTCTTTGCCCGAGGATCAAACCGACCAATCAAGCGAATCAAGCGAGCCACCGAGCAATCTCACACATACGCTCCCAACCTGTCAAAAAGACGCGGTGATCCTCGCCAACATACCAGATTGCGAACTCCTACCTTCCGAGTCTGTGTCGCAAGTGCTAGTATCCCAAGAGAGCTCAACAGATGCTGGTACTTCAATCACAAGCCACGTATCGTCTCGATGGTGTAAACGGCCAGCGCCGGCTACAGAGTGGATCTGGGGGTACTTCGAGACTACAGCCATTGATTGTCCATGGGTTATCAAGAGGACCAACAAGAGGCGGCTGGTCGACCGAGAGATTCGTTGTATGCATGTAGATGAAAAAACGGGAACACGCTGTGACTGGCATACGTCAGATTCTCAAAGGCAAAACACAACCAGCAACATGAAAACCCACTTGGCAAAGCATGGCATTTACTGCCCGACCTCCAGTATACAGCCAGCGAAGAAGGGACCGGACATTCGGAGTTTTATGGGTGGTAAACAGAGTCTCACCCACCAAGAGGTCTTGGAAAGGAATGCCATTCGCTGGATCGTGACTGATATGAAAGCCTTCACCACTGTCGAGTCTCCAGAGTTTCAGCAAATGTTCCAAGACATTCCTGGGATTGAGCCTCCATTCACTTCTCGCCACACCTTGCGGGATCGAATCATGCAAGAGTTCGCCATACAGCGCACCAACCTGAAGAATGAGCTGACTTTGACTTGCAAAACCATTGCCTTATCACTGGATATCTGGACAAGCCAGAATCATCTTCCTATTTTAGGGATAATAGGTCATTGGCTGACTGACGAATTTGAGTACCGCGAGAGATTACTCGAGTTCACCGAACTCCAGGGCATTCATAGTGGAGAAAAATCTGGCAATTGCAGTGGAAAATATGCTTACTGAGTTGAGTCTCGAGGACAAGCTCATTTCCATTACAGGCGACAACGCTAGTAACAATGAGGCGATGGCATCGGAGTTATACTTCTCTCTTTCCGACCGACCTAGGGGGAAGACGCCATGCCAGCACCACTCTATCGAGGTCTTGACAGCTACATCCGCTGCCTGGCTCATGTCCTCAATCTGATTGTGAAAGATATCCTCCGTAACGTGTGGTCGGGGACGATGGAACAAGCGCAAGTTGCCTGTGACTGTTTACAGACTGGTAACTCGATCACCGATCACTCAGTAATAGGGAGATTACGGGTCCTCGCTCTTTGGATTAACCGAAGTCCTCAGCGCCGACAGAAATGGAAGGAGATTTGCAGACTCAACAATCTTCCAGACAAATTCGTTGCGTACGATGTTACGACACGATGGAACTCGACATTTCGCATGGTCGATGATGGTTTGAAGTCAAGGCAACAAGTCAACAAGTTCCTAAACCTTCAGGAGGAACTCCCGCCGTTCACTCTCCAAGATTGGTCACGGCTGGAACAGATTCACACAGTACTCCACAAATTCAATGAGCTTACTTTGTTCATTTCGAAACGCAATCCACAAATCAGCCTCGCAGTCCCGATTTACTATGAGCTACACGAACTGCTTGATGACGTGACGGAAGGCAATGGTGAATTCGCAAAACTGAATCGAGATATCATAGCTGCAGTGAAAGAAGGGATGAAGAAATACGAAAAGTACTATTCCATTATGGATGACTGCGATACCTACTACACTGCCCTCGTCTTGGATCCCCGAGTCAAAGGTGAAATGGTCTTACGGGAACTGCAAGATGGCAATGCAGGGACAATGGTTCTGGAAACGATCCGCACCAATATACATCAAGTATACGCGGCTAGTAACCCGGAGCATGATGCCGCTGCATCAAAATCGTCTTCCCTGCAGCATAGTGATGTGGAGTCTAGAATGCTGAAGAAGTTGCAGGCGCGAGATCCACCGCTCTCAGATATTGATAAGTACTTCGACACCCCTCCGATCAGCGTCGCAGATACAACCGGCCAGAACTGGCTCTGTAATTGGTGGAAGATGCACAAGGGCGAGTATCCGCGGATGGCAGCAGCAGCCAGGGACTATCTAGCGATTCCTGCTTCTGAAGTTGCTGTTGAGAGAGTATTTAGTACAGCGAGGGACGTGCTAGGCATCCGGAGATATTCTTTGAAAGGGGATACCTTAAGAATGCTGATGTTGATTCGCGATGGGTATAAGTGGTAGCGGTCAAGAGATTTGGTTAAATTATGCCATCGCGATAATCCGGTTCTGCATTCATAAAGTGTTAAATAAAACTGCTGTTCGACGAAAGCCCGTTCGCTCTCTAGACGATTCTAAGGGGAAAATGTGCCGATGCCGATACGATATGACGATATCGTGAGTGGTGATATCGTCAAATTTGAAGCTTGCCGATATCGTACCGGCAATCGGCATCGACAAATTCAAAAGCTGCTGATATCGTATCGTCTGTCGATATCGTATCGTCAATATCGGTATATCGGCAATATCGTCAACAGCCCTACTCACGAGAGTCAGTTGCTTGCCTCTGCGGATAGCTCGTCATCTCTCACGCAGTCAAGTCTTGATTTTGTCCCTCCCGCCTTCCCTCTGTATATAGAATCCACTACAATACAGACATATTGCCTCCCTAAAGGGGAGCGCGAACGGGCCCTATCTGACGCTACGGTCTACGACCGCAGCGACAGGTGACCCGTTATGGCCAAACTACACTCTTCTTGCTCCTCTTGACTGCGTGAGGTCACCAATAAATACGGAAGTATTTATATAAGGTTTAGCGTGTCATGTGATTAGGGTTTGAAGTTTATGTGCCTCTATGTTTCCAATATAGAAGGCAATAACGGCCGGCACTGTATAGTAGCAAGCAAGGAGACGAGCTTTGCCAGAATTTACCGGCTAGCGGGGAGAATCCGATATACCGGCCCCACGAAGATGCGGGTCGGAACGGCCCAGAAAAACCCCACCGGATCCCAATTAGTCGCCATCGCGCCGGGCCGGTATCAAGATAAAAGTCTCGGTAGTGTGTCCTAAAGTGAATATTTGGAGGGTCAAATGCGCTTTGAAACAGTAAGCTTGGTTAATGGTTTCGATCACCGAGAGCTGACGCCACAACGTTGCGTCGAAAATCCAGGCGATCTGGGCGCAAGATAAAACCGTCGAGCTACTATTATTGAAGAAATACCAACGTAGACGGATTTTTTAAAGTCAATTGCATAGAATTGGAAACTCCGAATTTGCTAAAACTCGCGCATTCTATAGTAGGGTGCATTACTGTGGTGGGCTCCGTCATTGTGGGTGTAACCATACTGGGCGAAGTCTGCGCCACATTTAACAAAAGCAAGTGTCGGAGCAAGCTGAGACAGTGGGCTAGTAATCCTATCAGGCGAATAAGGGCGAGGATGAAGCAGAACCAATCTTGAATGCAAAAGTTGATTGATTGAAGAAAGAATGAATATCATGAAGCAGGTTGAAATACCCCATGGGTGGCTCAGGTAGGGCCAGCAGATTCCCGTTTGGGGAAAGAGAGGGCCGCCAAACCCCATCGGAGTACGCGAAACCCAAACAGGAGGTGGTGGCCTCTTAGCCCCTTCAGGCATAGTGCAGGCACCAAACCGCATCTGGGTGGGCTAAACCGGAAGGAGGCACGGTGGGGTCCCACGCCAAACCCGATCGAGGGAAGAGGGAGAAGAGAGCGGGGTGGGGGCGAATCCGGCCGCGTCGGCACAAATGGTTGTTGTAACTATAAAAGATTTGTATTTCCCCCAACCTAGTGCCCTGTCTTTATTTCGGTATTTTCAAACCTTTCCGCCCCCTAAATATCTTTTCTACAATGAAGCTCATATATTCTATCTTTACTTTGCTCATTATAACGGCCGCAGCAGTTCCGTTAGACTCTACTCTTGAAGATGACGCCCCTGCAGTCAACACGCTTATGAGAAGAGGTGTAAGTACCATACCTTCTATTAACCTGAAGTCTACTGTATATTATGTTCCTCTGGTATCAAATGCCTAATTCTTGTATATAGTGTTGGATCAATAACAGCTTTTGTGCGGATTACTGCTGTCAGCTCGAAGGAGAAAGCTGTGCCCAATGCAAACGCTGCTCTCCGACACCATGTTAGTCATTGGTTACATGACCTTAGTTAGTGGCCTGAGCCGTTAGGCCCTCTATCTTTCCTGCTGAAAGATGCGCTTCCTGCATGAAGCACCGATCTCCAACAGATCCTCTCTATCACGCCTGTAGAGGCCTGATAGGCCTATATGAGCCTGCTTCGGATGCAACATCCGCTTCCCCTAACTTTATGTTTGCTTCTTCCGGACCTCTCTCATCCGAGCCATACTGTTCCTTTGTGCTAATTCATGCTATCCATCTCATCTATTTATTGCCCTTCCTTCTGCATGGAATTTAGTTAGTCAGTTGAATCAATCTCTTTTATCTTAAGTCTCTATCTATAAGGAACTTACTTGAAGGGGATTTGAACTCCGCTTTTGCCATTTGGGCGAATTGCAGGCTTTTTTTTTAGACGACAGTCACCTGTGAGGCGGAATTTGCCTTCTACCCAGCGCAGACGATCCAGAGGACTGGCCATTACATCTTGAGTACACGAGACCATGCCAGCAACCAAAGATCACGTGCTGTAACTCACCACTGTCACGACTCACCAGGAACAACTCCTGATAGCCGGGCTGCGAAGTCCGACTCTGCCACCTCCTCGTGGTGCAGCCTAGTAACATTGTCCAAGTGGTGATGGCCAAGAGCAGAGAGGCCATTATGGGTTCCTTGTGAACCTACCATTCTTGGGGGATGGACTCGAATGCCGTGGCGACCCGGACTCGACCGAACGCTCGACGCCCAGCACGGACGAGGGTATGGACTATGGGTGTGGAAGCGGTTGAGATTGCATATGACAGTGCGGTGTTATCAAGCTCATCAGGCTGATCTATATAGATCAATTTCTGCGACTCTTTCATGTCCTGAAGGACAATTTCGATTGTTTCGACAATTCCCGTAGCTTGCCTCAGTACAGCTACATGCAGGGAGGTCATTGCCATATTGTTCTTGTCAAAGATAGCCCATGGGCTGTGTTTGAGGTATTGATTTGCTGCTTCGTATTGCTGACAATTAAGCCAACTATGGAATATTGGCCAGTTGAATTCTGCACATCCGCGAACAGTATCTCGAAACACATCTTCCGGCAGCTCTGCCCTTGCATGGACTGCCTTAAGCGAATCAACATCTCGAAGTATCGATGGCTCAGCAAGGATTGCGTGCTGTACAATGCGTTGCAGCCAGCTCTTGGACCAAGAATACTGCGTGAATAATGTTATAAAAGCGTCAAGATGTCTCAGTGTTGGGCCGATTTCACGTTTGAGTAATTCCACAGATGACAAAGAAAAGATCCCATCAACAAAATACGAAGGAAATCACATCTTCAATGGGAAGATAGCCTAGGATATCGTACAACAATCCGACCGGAAGCAAGAGGTTGTGAGTTCTTGAGATCCCGTTATAGTCCATGGTGGGTCTTTTTGCTACCGTTGAATCGGTCTCCCACTAGTCGCGATTGGTCCGTGTCTGGCACTCCCTATTACCACTTTGAGTAGTATTTAGACCAAACACGTCATCTTTGACAGTGAAGAGTGGTCGTGGAAACCCATCTTTGTATTGTACCCGAGGAACTAGGTCAGAATTAATATAATAGGTTTCTCTAGGCCGGGTCGGAAAGTAAAATCGAAATGTGCGGATCATGTGTTGCAACGCAGGAAACTGAGTATACCACGTCATTCCAGAGCCCCTGCAAATATCGGAAATTACCCAGATCACTTCTTTATGCTGCCTGATCTCAATTTTGAGGGTAAATGAAATGCTTCCTTCCTGTAGTGCATTAGCCGGTTTTATTCCATCAATTCTCAGCCCCATTCTCTTCTACATAGTACGAGAAATTAATATTTCAAATATTAGCATTCTAAGCGCTTATGTGGAAAGGTTCTGGGAGACTAACTTCATAGACAGGAAAGAGCCGGCCTATCTGTGAATAGATGCGTGCTTGCGTTCATTCCCCAGACATAAACAGCTCATAGTGAGCCCAGGGCTATGCCATCCGTTTCCCGCCCTACTGCCTGATCTGCTTGCGGTTATCCGAATGGGTGGATGTACAGGGACTGTTGAATCTCCTGTACTGGCCGCACCATCGGAATTAATTCCCGCATTGTCTATACGAAGAACCAAGTTGATTTTCAATCAACAGGATCTTCTCGTTGTATGTATAGCCTCAATTATTCCCTCTAGTTCAATAAACGATTAAAAATCTTCTTTTGAACTATAACAGTAATTCGCCTGACTACGTCTGATGGCTATTCTCCTGCGGGTGGCGCCCTTGCTTGCCATGATGCTTGATATTTGCTTGCCTTAGCGTAGACAACTAAGATAGAATCACGTATAGCAAATTTCAGTCAAAGACTGGCGTCTTTCTTGCTACTTATTTTTACGGTTCGTGTCCTTCAGGAGATCGAGACGCCGCAAATACAGATTCCGTGTTCTAGCCAGTCTAGAACTTAGTGGTGTTGTCTGGGAATAGTTCTCTGTCACACCTTTCTCTGCTTCTAAGCGGCTTAGTCCCCGGCCAGTTCACTCGAAAATTCCAGGTTACCTTGCGCAGCGACCAGCACCAGGGACGCATCGTCCGGCTCTAGGATCGATATTCAGCTAGGAGTCCTCATCTTACGTACACATGAAGCGATGAGTGCAGGAGATACGATATGGACAGCTCACATAGCTTATCTGGTTTTCCCGAACGAGGGGAAGCTCCTCATAAATCCGTAGGAAGTACCTTGGAGCTGCATTGGCTTTGGGATCCGTGCAAAGAATCCCAGCCGTGATCCCTTTCAGTACCTGGGGCCTATCGACCGATCTCGCTGCTTAACACTCTAGGCAAACTCCTTAAAGCGGTGATGGCGCGACGACTGTCGTACCTCGCTGAAAAGCACGGCCTGCTACCGGACACCCAGTTTGGAGGACGACCAGGCAGAACCACTGAACAGGCCCTGTTGGTCCTCTCTAATGCGATTGACCAAGCGTGGTATATACACAAAGTGATTACGCTAGTGGCTTTTGACCTGAAAGGTGCCTTTAACGGAGTCAACAAAGTGAGCCTAGACGCTTGCCTCCGGGCAAGGAGAATCCCAACCGTGGCCAGAAAATGGATTGTGAGCTTTATGAGCGACCGCCACGCCAGCATAGGATTTGATGACTTCCGCACCGAGGCCACACCACTAGCGAACGCGGGACTTGCACAAGGCTCGCCTTTCTCCCCTATTCTGTTCGCATTCTTCAACTCCGACCTAGTCGACCAACCTGTCAACTCTCACGGCGGTGCATCCGCCTATATCGACGACTACTTTCGCTGGCGCGTGGGACGCTCGGCTGAAGAGAACCTAGCCATGATTCAATCGGAAGATATTCCCCGCATTGAGGCATGGGCCCGTCGAACTGGGTCTTGCTTTGCAGCCGAGAAAACCGAACTGATTCATATCACCAGGAAACGACGCGAACAGATGCAGGGGCAAGTGGTTATGAGCGGGAAGACAATCGAACCGTCGCCCACTGCCAAGCTTCTAGGGGTGGTGTTCGACCAGGAGCTTCGCTGGAAAGAACATGTCCAGCAAGCGATCAAACGCGCAATCAAGGTCAGTATTGCTCTAGGCGGGCTGCGGCATCTACGCCCAGAGCAGATGCGACAGCTGTACCAAGCCTGCGTGACGCCGGTCATGGACTACGCGTCGACGGTCTGGCACGATCCTTTGCGAGACAAGACCCACCTACGACACTTGAATACAGTCCAGAGAACCACATTGATCCGCATCCTATCAGCTTTCAGGACAGTGGCCACCACGACTCTGGAAGTGGAAGCACATATTTTGCCAACACATCTCCGACTCCGCCACCGAGCGCAGAACACCATCGCAAGCCTTCACACTCTGCCGCGCGACCATCCGGTCTGGGATACACTCCGGCGAGCCCAGAAACGTAGGAACAACATCGGGTCGCACGCTCGATTCCCACTGGCGGAAGCCCTGAAGACTATGAACCTAGAAAGATTAGATGAAGTAGAGACGATCGATCCACGACCGCTGCCACCGTGGCGAGCCGAGTCTTTCACGGATATTGAGTTCGGGTCAGACCGAGAGACGGCAAGAGAACAGGCGGACATGGTGCGGTCCACATCCGCCATCGTGGTCTACTCGGATGCCTCGGGACGTGAAGGACACCTAGGCGCTGCAGTCGTTGCACTCGACAACAACCTAGAGGTCATCGAGTCCCAGCAGGTCCAGGTGGGACCGATGGACCGATGGTCGGTTCACGTAGCTGAGCTGATAGGTATTTTCTACGCTGTCAGTACAGTTTTCAAGATTAGCCATCAACGGCCTAGAACGGAACATAATGGAACAACAACGGCAACGATCCTCTGCGACAGCAAGTCAGCGTTGCAGGCGATCGAAAACCCAGGAAACAAGTCAGGACAACGCATCATCCACGCGATCCTCCAGGCGGCCGCAGAGGTTCAAGCAAAGGGAATCGCGCTCCGCCTCCAATGGATACCCGGACACTGCGACGATCCAGGGAACGACGCAGCAGATCGGTTGGCCAAAGACGCGGCAAGCCCGGGCAAAACACACCCCTTCCGCCCTTTGCTGACAAGGAAGAGAGCGCTTATCCGGGACAAGATCCGCGCTCAATGGGAGCGGGAATGGAAAGCATCAACCAAAGGCGGTCACCTGCGAAAAATCGATAGCACTCTACCGGCGACCTACACCAGGAAGCTGTATGGGAATTTGCCCAGGGGCCGGGCGTACCTGTTGACACAGCTACGCACGGGCCACAATTGGCTATCCACCTATGCCAAGACCTTCGGCTTCCGCGACGATGATCGGTGCGTGTGCGGTGCGCAAGAAACAGTCACCCACGTGCTGGTGGACTGCCCAAATTTGAGGGAAATCCGAAGGGAGCTAAGACGTGAAGCTGGGGACGCGTTCAACGACGTGTCGAGTCTGCTGGGAGGCTCAACCGAAGGTAAGAGAGGTAAGCCAGACATCGTGTCGCGGGCTAGGACGGTCAAAGCCGTACTAGACTTCGCTGAGGCGTCACAAAGATTCAAAAGTCGCGCGCCATGAGGGCAGCCTAATGCCCTGAAACGAAGGAACGTAGTGAAAGGGTTTACAACCCTGCGCGAGCTGCCCGCCAACCTTTGCTGGCCTCTCACTGCCAAACTCTTCGTTTTTTTCGTTGCTAATTGGTGCTTTCTCGTGCCAAGGAATGCTCCTATTGACTGCCAATACGCTCTTCTCGTTTGCTGCTGCGACTCTCCAGGCTCTCCTCCGATTGCTGCTCTGTCTCTCCGCGCTCGCTTCTGATTGCTGCTCACCTACTTTCCTTTCCTTCCTCTTTAGGCTTTGTGCTTCCCGAATTCGTATTCGGCCTCTGTTGCTTTTTCTCCGTGTCTAGGGATCCCGGTGTTCCCGCTAGTCTTGGAGTCGGTGGGGTTCCGGCCTTCTCGCCTTTCTATTATGATTCCACCCTTATTTGTCCTGAGCATCCTGCAGATAGTACTATTATGCACTCATGCGCACGGTGACGTGTTCGACTTCTACTATATGAATGATCAACACGGATCTTTCTCGCTGGTCCCAACTTTTTCCTGTCGCTCCTCTCCCAGTGCGCCTTGGAACGGATGCCGTTTGCTGGTTTCAAGTCATCTCTTCTCTAATGACATCTCCTCCTGCGCAACGTTCTTTCTGCTCTGGTTGCGCCAGACCATGGCGCTCTACACAGTTTCGGTCCTGCGACAATTGCCGCAGGAGGGCTTCTCAACGGGCGGTCAGAGCCCGACAGCTTTCAGCTACTGTAGGCACGAGTAATATTTTAACTGGGCCACCTCCGCCTCTAACTTCCCCTACTGTTCCTGCCTTTTCGACGCTACATTTTTCGTGCTCTACATGTGCACGCCCCTGCCGGTCGTTGTATCATAGGACGTGTAATCGCTGCCGCCAGGCAG